ATTGCGAAACCGTATACTTGAAGCTGCCACAATTAGGGGAATATCTGGAATTTGAGAAAATATTCGCCAAATATTCGCGTCGGTGCCATACCTGTATCCGCGCTAATGGGGATCCGTTTCAAAATTTTCTCTAGAAATGGTAAATTTTATTTCACTTTGTTCCATATTTTAATGGAGGTTGTTTAGTGCACGCAGTTGGCAACTACAGATGCTTACGGATGTGGTTTTATTTGCGAACTCTTGCAGTAACAACAATGCAAGTAAGATAGTAATTTCTGTTTATTATTATAATAAGAAAATATTAGTTTTTTTTAAATATCTATTTTTCTAAGTTTGTACTTTTGCATTGAAAAATTCCCCAAAAATTGAGAAGTATCTTTCTNACATTAAAAACGAGATTTTTATTTCTTACTTTGCTTAATTTTTTGCGCACAAATTAGTTTTACAGTGAAACGAAAAAACAATGCATTTACTATTTCCGAACGTGTCCATATGGTGTTAGTGTATGGTACAGCCGGAGAAAACGCGCTCGCGACGACTAAGTTGTACCGGGAACGATGGCCACAACGTCACCCCCCCATGTGCAAATACAATCCTATAGTGCGTTCAGCGGCTGCGAGATACAGGAAGTGTTACTCCCAGAGGAGAAAGACTCAGCAAGTGAATGAATGATGAAAGTGCAGTGTTGGAAAATATTGACGAAGACCCCACAATTAGTACACGACGACTCGCACAGCAAGTAGGAACCTCATCTCGTACCGTACATCGCATCTTAATGCGCCAGCTGTTGCATCCCTATCAGCTGCAACTAGTAAAAAACAGATTTTACACCCGGATTGTGATCAACGAATGCGTTTTTGCAGATGTTTTTTTACGGCAATGTGCCAATCAAGTAGACTTTCCTGCTTATGTTTGTGTAACATATGAGGCGACATTTACCCGTGATGAAGTGAATTTCCATAATATGCACATAAGCGTCGTTGAAAATCTTCAAGCGATTAGGGGAACTCATTTTCAATATCGGTTCTCGGTAAATTTTTGGGCTGGCATAATAGGCGATATACTTGTGGGTCCCTATTTCTTTGAAGGACGACTAAATAAACCAAGATACGCTGACTTTTTGGAGCACCGGTTCCCTGAATTATTGGACGATGTGGCATTTCAAGTTCGGACACGCATGGTTTATCTTCAAGATGGGGCTCCGCCACACAGTACTCGAGAAGTAACGACACTTTTGAATGAAATGTTTCCTCTGCGATGAATTGGACGCTTCGGTCCTGTGCCGTAGCCACCTCGGTCATCCGATCTAACTCCAACGGACTTTTATCTTTGGAGTCACTTGAAGTCATTGGTTTAAAATACTCTAATTGCTACGGTGGAAGAATTGCGAAACCGTATACTTGAAGCTGCTGACACAATTAGGGGAATATATGGAATTTGAGAAAATATTCGCCAAAAATTCGCGTCGGTGCCATTCCTGTATCCGCGCTAATGGGGATCAATTTCAAAATTTTCTCTAGAAATGGTAAGTTTTATTTCAGTTTGTTCTATATTTTAATGGAGTTAGTTTAGTGCACACAGTTGGCAACTACTGAGTCTTACGGATGTGGTTTTATTTGCGAACTCTTGCAGTAACAACAATGCAAGTAAGATAGTAATTACTGTTTAGTATTATAATAAGAAAATATTAGTTTTTTTTTAAATATCTGTTTTTCCCTAAAAATTGAGAAGTATTTTTCTATCTTTGTTTACGCGGCTGGTCTACAGCATGTAACTCATCGTACAGCACACGGACAGGACCGGAGAAAATATTTTGATCCATAATTGAACTTTAATTTACGAAAAAAAAAACGCAAAATAGAACTTTTTCGTCTATGACTTTTCTATTACAAATATCGTTAGGAAGTTGTAGTTTAATTTTTATAGATTATTCACGCCACACTGTCTGCTACTACAACGCGTATTGCCGTTTACTGGCTTAGTATAGATTACAACTGTTTATTTACTTGATTGTCGCTACAAAGTTTCCGATGTTTAGTTATTAGTAGTAGTAGTAGTAGTTAAGTATAAGTAAACTATATTTTATTCGTAATATTTATAATCGCCTGCAGGACAAGTTTAGTATACTCGTATTTTGTACAAATCAGTTTCAAATAAGAGGGTAGAATATATTTAACTGACTCAAATTACTCGCACACAATGTCAGCTGGAACAACACATCATAATTTTTGCGACATATAATCTCCCTTTAGGTTAATGTGAAATGAAAATGTATGTTAATGCAGATAAGATTTCAAACCTTTTTTGTAAGTTAACGATAACTCGGGAATGAGTCACTTATAAATTCAGATCAGCTAGAGTAAACTAATTTCGACTGTACTTTTCCTGTTCTCCTTTATTGGTTCTCATTTTATATTAATGGAAACAGGTCCCTCGGCTCCTTTGCTAACGTAAGTAGAAGGTTTTTACCGCAACGAAATTAACATTTATTTAAATTGCCTCTCTAAGGAGACTTTAGTCTATCATCTGTGCGGGACAAGATACTTTTAAGGAATAATATAAAAATTCTTACACACTTTAAAGAATGAATATACCAAAATGAAATAAAATAACTATGAAAAAATTGATAGAATAATTGATCATTTTTTAAAGGCTGTTGTAATATACATATTACATATACAGTCCGGATGATATTTATTGAGATAGAAGAAACATGCTTTTGTAACTGCATAACACAGTATGCACTGCAAGTTGCTACGGTGAGCGCCACGCCGCCAATGTCTTTCTGCCACGGTTGTCGAGTGCGGTTAATTCCAAGAAAGTGACGCAGGGGTCTTCTTAAAATTCTATCTCAACAAATATCGTACGGATTGTATATTGTGTACAAATTCACGACTTTGTGCATTTAACACTTGTGATTTGAATTTCATAGTTCAAACAACTTTTTCTTGGACTGTGCAGATGTTCACCGTTCGACGTTCAGACGTGCAGACGGACCGTAACTAATGATATTGTGGAAAACAGCTGATTTGCGGACCAAAGCTCTGTTCGGCACTGAAGTACACCCACAATATCTAGTACACAACTAAGATCAAGATAGTTCAATGTTAGAAATAAATCCGCAATATCTAGAAAACAGCTAAGATCGTTCGTCAGCAGAGTAATCAGACATAAGACGATTTCGAACTTATTAGTTCTCGTCAGTATGCCATAGCTAAGATATTTGGATATTCATCTACCGAATGTTTTGAATGTGGGTGAGATATAATTTTATTTCGTCTAGCGCGGCACTAATTATGCCTCCATAGTGCCTACAGATTATTAGGTCACTCTCTGCTGATAGGTACAACGTAATGTTTTGGAGGGCAGAAATAGTTAAGATATAATACAATTTGTAGGTTGCACGGCATTTATACATATATATGTTTCTTGTATAATTTTGATGTGATACTTTTCTTTAAAGAAACAAATTTATTTATCGCAAAGGATGGTCGTGTAATGGGCCAAAGAAATTAAATTGACTTGTTTGCTTCTCAATTGAGGATAATTTTTGTTTTCAACGAGAACATAATCCACCCCTAATGATGATCTTTGAAGCTCTGTAAATTATTAATTTCCTATGCTCTATACTAAAAGCAGATAAGAAGTAAACATCTGACAAGCAATAATTTTGACCTAATTGCTTTCATAATTTCAATTTGATTTGGGGAAAATCGATGGCTTCCTTTTCATGCTCATTATTATGAAAATCATTAATAAAATACTGGTGCCACAAAAATATTGGTTAAATATATGCGGTAGTAGATAGGTACAACGTGTCTCGATTATACATGGTGGCCGCTGAGGTATCCGAGATAGTTCGTGTATGTATTCTATGACTAATTTTAAGCCCAAATTCCCAATGGTTCTTGAAATATCTGGGTTTGAAATTGCCAGGTCGCATCCTTATTATTACCAACCGGTACAATAACTTCTCCCCACGAATCTGCCCCAAAGAGTTCGTCTTTGTGGATGGTGGAGTAATCATCTAGATACACTTTCAAGAACCCTTTTATGTGACCAAGCTACGTATACAAAAGATGGAATCAACAATATCCATAACGATCATATGTGGGCAATAGAAAACCCTCGTGCTATTCGAGGATCTCATTTCAGAAAAGATTCTCGGTACACGTTTGGACTGGAAAAATTAATTATGAAATTATCAGACCACATTTCTTCGACGTAAATTTGTATAGCGAGATGTATATACGGGGCTCTTTTTGGAGATCGATCTGCCTCTACAACTTTAGAACTTTCATGTTCAAGTCAGAAGGACGATGTTCTTTTTATATGATGGTGCTCCGTCCCATTATCGAATAGGTTCAATGAAAAGTATCCAAGTCGGTGGATAGGTCATGGTGGTCCCATTGCTTGGCCACCGCGATCGCCGGATCTCAAAAACTATTGGGAATTCGGGAAAGAAAAGTGAATAGAATCATTTTTACTTAAAATTAGGCATATAATTCATATACGAAGTATTTCGGATACCCTGTATAGAAGATAAGAGCAATATTTTAATTATTAATAAGTGATATGATATGTGATATAAAAAAATTTGTATAGTTAATACATCCAACACTTTTGTAGATCTATTAATTTTGTCCAATATTTTCAGTACTTTGGTACATACTCCATTATAAGTTAATTAATTATGAATAGTAAATGCATGTCTTCCGATTATTTTTTTTTTAGTCAAAGCTGAACAATTTTAGATCAGTTAAATATAATATAATGTATTTTCAAATGTCTATTATCATAAATAACTAATAGAAGTGATCAATTTCTAACAAGCAGTGCTAACATATATTTTTTTTTTAACTGTAGACTGTGAGACATTATTATATGTCTGTAAAGGACGAGTTGTAGGTATTCTTGGTTTTGTTGGTAACGTCATGGACATGAAAATCGAAATTTATCTCTTTCATTCGAAGTTAAAAATAAAATCCAATTAATTTCAGACCTTCTACCTCAAGTCCGTGATGTTTGAAATAGAAGTTCTTAGAGTTGACTTAGTGCGAAGTAATTCCGATGAACTAAATGAAGAAAGTGACAGTCTGGGTGATAAACTGAGCAGCAGGGAAATTGAAATTGACGGGAAGAGTATCTCGCCCTACGCGCTGAGGCGCGATAGCCAGCCTGGACTAAGAAACATTCTTTTAAAAGGCCAGATGCTGTACCTAAATGATATTATTGGAATCATATATCTTTGCAGCCCTGTGTAAGTTATTTGTTTCATTTAAAGGTTTGCGTTATGGTTGATTTAATCTTATTAATTTGATATGTTAGTAAAATAAAGTAAAGTAAAGTAAAGTAAAGTAAAGTAAAGTGTGTTAGTAAATATGTTAGTAGTTCAGTAGCGATAATATTTGAATTTCCTGGATTATTTACCGATAAAACAATTTTTTGTGCTACCACTTTAGAAAATGTCACTTTCTGATTACTTTTTAGTTAGAAAAAGTATTTCATTGCTGATTTAGATCGGAATGGAGGTGACAACTCGGTAAAGTGACATGAGTTCAGGAAAGTAACTTTACCGATGTGTTACTATTGTCTTCAGAAACTTTTGTCAGCCGAATTTTTGATGTAGTTATTTAAAGATTAATAACGATGAAAGGGATGAAGAAAACATTCCATTCGATATTAAAGAAACGTCGATGATGAATCCAGGAAAAGGTATAAGAAAGCATACGAATTTTTCGAGGAATAATATGAAAAGTAAAATAATGGTAGTAAATGAAGTTGTTCTGTTAGAAGATTTACACGAAGATTTACACGCTTAAATCATCAAATATATGGAGTCTGTATTAAATGCTCAAAACAATGTTAATGTCCAAGAAGAACATTGATATTAGCAAATTTCTGAAATTAATACCTTTTGCAAGGAAAAAAAATCTGGCAAACAACTCCATAGTTTTTAGTAAACAAAAACAGAAGCCCCGAATTTTGATTGTTTTGTTACGATGATATTTTCCACAGTTATTAATAGTGGTTGTATTAAAAACTTTTGCGATTCAATTTTTTCATTTGCCATGACGAATTAATAAAAATGATCACAGCTAACGTGAAAGATAAAATATGATGTGTTAATAATAAACATTCGTAATACAAAAATAACACAGCCACACAACAAAAGTGTCATATGGTTTTGACCATACATTCAAAGGTCCGTCTATTCCTGTTTTAAAAAAGCCATCCATCTAAAGATGCATACATTCATCCACAAAATAAACCATATTGGATCCTGGTCCGCCATATTGGATCTGCCATGTTGAATTTGCAATTTTGAGTTCATATTCGTGGTCAGCAACACCCAAAACCCCCAGGATTCAATTCGGGATTATTCTCTTGATTTTTCGTCCGCCATACTGGATCCGCCATGTTGAATTTTAGAATTCTGAATTCAAATTCGAGATTAACAAACCTAAAAACCCCCACGGATCCAATATAGCATAATCTGAAACCCCTACATACCAAGATTCTATTCATTTCTTGCAAACCTCTATTTCTGACCGATTTTTTTTAGGTTAGAAAAAAATGGGGAATGCTGTATGATTTCTAAAGGTGGATTTGGATTCAGCGAGCCGAATTACCTATAGCTATGCTAAGAAATGTGAAAAATATTTTTGTTGTTGTTTTTTCTCATACTTCTTCATTTATTTTTGTTAATTTTGACCTATTTTTTGAGGTTAGAAAAAAATGTGACAAATGTCGCAATTCTGACAGTGGATTCGGATTCAGCGGGTGAAAATACTATAATATATACTAGTTTGGTCAAAACCATATGACACTCTTTTGTGTGTGGCTGTGTAATGCAGAGAACATTTGTGGTTGTTGACAAATTAAATTTTCAATTATACAGGGCGTTTCTGAAATAAGTGTGTTCCTTGGAAAGGGTGTTACAGGGCACGAAAATAAGCAACTGATGATCTAAACATTACGTTTTAAATTGAAAAAATAAAATTCGCATGAAGGTTTAAATCAATTTAAAGCCGCCCCTGCCACGCGCCGCAGTGCGAAAGCGCTGAAGGCGGTTTTGACTGTTTAAATTTTGTGTTGGAAAAAGCTGAAATTTATTCAAATCTCATTTAAATGTAACACAAAAATTAAAATGAATTACTTACCGATAAACGATATGCTCTACAAAAATTGTTCAAAACTGTTTGTGCTAATAAACATGCTTCCAAACGACGGTCAAAATTATGTCACAAAAAACACCACCTCATGCATTCATTGAAAACCGTTGCTGGAACCGAGATCTCTGTACAACATGAGGATTTACATCACACCAATAAACATTTTATACGCCGGTTAAGTAATACTGCAACACACAACGCACCTGCGCAAGATGCACAGGGCCGGCTTACATTTCACTTTGTATAGAGAATATTTAGCTCTACATCCAAAAAGCATAGGTTACATTGTAGATTATTCCTATTATTTGTGAATGCATTTTTCAACGTAAATATAAATAATTAATAAGATATATTTTTGATATAAATTTATGACCAATAAATATTCTGTTGTAGTTGTATTATTGTTAAATTATTGGTGGCAGCACAAAAAACGTTGTGTGCGCTACAATCAGGAAATATATTCACAGGGTTTTCAAGCTTTTCAGATGCTTGCTCGCCCCGTAAAGTACAACTTTAAATAACTGTTTCAAATCGGTCTGTGAAAAATCAAGATATTTAATCAAAACTACAGTTTCAGGAAATTGTTAACAATTTATTCAAAACAACTTTTATGTTTTAGTATAAATGATATTAGCGAACTTCCCGATCAAGGACTATACTTGAATGATTTAAATCCACACGGATTAAGTAAGGAAATGGTTTTAGCTGGCTGGCAGAACAATTCCAAGTAATTATATCTTTTTAATTTGTAAGTAGACATATTGCAGTAAGGAAAATAATTCGTATTATCAAATAAATTTGGCACTGTTCGTAGAATAATGTGTTATCGAGTTTCCTTAAATTTAATTTTCAATAAAAACGATTTAAAACTTTTAAATTTAACTTGTAATTTGATTCTGAGGTGAACTTCGAAAAGCATGACCTAATCCTAAGGGGAATGTTTTAGATTGGAGCTAATGTTCGACAAAGCAGAACAGAGAGCAACGGAACTGGAAAATAACTACAGTCTCTTAAATACTTGGAAGAACCGTGGGGATGATTTATTGTACTCAATGATTCCGAAGCCCGTTGCCGATCGACTTAGAGCTGGCTATAGTTCTTTGAGCACATGTGAGGTAAATATATACATGTATACAGCGTGTCCTGTTATTACTTGGCGTTAATTTCTAAAAATAGTGGTAGTGGTTCATATAAAGTTTCTTTTTCCTTAACGTTTCGTTTCCGAGGTACATACATAGTACATATTTATTATAACTGTTACTTTGAGGAGGGTGTTTCGTAATTACCTTTCAATTGGCTAAATATAAAGATATTAAAATTTGTATAATATTTTATTCCCAATAGCAGTGGCGTGAATGTGAATTTGAGAGGTAGGTATAATCGAATGAAAAATATGTAAAAGTTACAATTTCTTAAACGTGCTGACAGCTTTACAGACCTCAAAATATAACACAAAAAACTAGATGAAAGAGAGATGAAGAAAAATTAAAGCTTTAGATGCAAACGTAAAAATATTTACATAAAAAGTATGTTACTATGGATTCAAATCAAATCAAATCAAATCATTTATTGGTGTCGATACATTAAAATGTTTACACAAGTCAAAGAAAGAAAAACACGAAAGATACAACATATAAGCAATACTACACTAAAGCTAAAAAACACATTCAGATAGATTACTTTATTTAAGAGGATTCTGTGGGACACACAATCAAATGCCTTAGTCAAATCGTAAAAATTTCTACCGACAACATTATTTGATTCGAAATTGTTTAAAATAGTCGTAGTCAACTGGTCAATAGCTAAAATTGTTGACCTTTTGTTCCTAAAACCATATTGACTAGAATGGAATAAATTATTGTTTTCAAAATATTCTGCAATTTGCATTTTTAAGGCAGTTTCGAAAACCTTTGCCGGAACGGGAACAAGAGGTTGATCGATAGTTAGATACATCATCTCTCTCACCCTTCTTAAAAACAGGAATAACCTCGGATAACTTGAAAGCTGTAGGAAACACGTTGGAGCTAATACATTGATTAATTAATTTAAATAATGGAAAAATTATAATGTTTTTAAGAGTGTCCAAGATTGGAACATTCAAGTTGTAAGCATCTTTGTTTTTTTTTTTTACTTTTAAGATATTTAAAATAGTCCTCCCTTCATTAAAGGATAAGTCTCTGAATTTAAAAGTCGTTTGTGATGTCGGGGCAGTCAAAAAGTCGGAAGGTAACTTGTTGGGAAGCGGAAGTTCACCGAAAAAACGTTCTGCAATATTGGAAAAATAAGAATTAAAGTCATTAGCGTTTAATGAATCGCCTACAGGTGAACTGCGGTCATTTTTATTTTCTATGAGGTTCCACATTGCTGCTTGTTTATTAGTAGATGTATTTATATAGTTGCCATTGGCGCTTTTTTTGGCTTTAGGTAATTCAAGACGATACTTGTTGCGATAGGAATTGAAGGTTTCTCTGAACATGGGGGTTGGATGCTGACAATGCACATCTCTTAAGAAATTTAATTTTTCTCTCGTAGTGACAAGCGCTTGAGTAAACCAGGCAGTATCACTAGATTTGAAATTACGTTGAGTTTTAGTTTTCATTGGTAAATCTCAATTGCATCGAGTAACACTTAAGAAAAAGTTCAACCTTTACGTCTGTATCACTACATGTATCACTAACAACAACAATACTAGTCAGATTTTAAAAAATCATAGCTTTGCAATTCAAATTGGCAAATCATTTACGTTTAATTTGATGAGGAATTTCAGTTTTTTCAATTTTTTTAAATTTAAGAGTTTTGTTATTTTAACAGTCAGTTTAGGGTCTACTTTTCATAAATTAATTTGCTGCCATATTTTACAGCTGTTTAAATACTGAATAAAAAAGTACATAAAGCAAAAATTAACAGAAGCATAAGTAAATAAAATAGGTACAAAATTAAATAAATAGAATATTATAGCAATAGCTGAAAGTGCTTCCTATTTTCTTTTATGTACATGGACATCGAAGAAGTGATTGCCGTACCCTAATAAAAATTCCAATATCTTGTCGAACAAGTTTTGTCCCTTTCACAATTCGTGCCTATAGTTTCTAGTATATACCGAAATAGCAGATACATTGCCTTTCATGCATTTTCAATAATAAAGATCTAAAATATTCAGGTTGGGTGACCTAATAGGTCAATTTACAGTTAGATGCATCTTGCCCACATGTAATCCATCACCCATCACCTTTTATATCCAAGAGCATATCTTCTAATAGATCTGGTAAGGTACGTTCTAAGAAATTTTGAAACTGAACACCAACGGGTAAATGTTAAATGATCACCGATAATTCTTGCTCATATACAGGGTGTTTTAAATGAAGTAGCAAAAATGGTACCAGTGAATGTAGAGTCAAAAATAAGAGGATTTAAGTAAAAATACCTTATATGAAAGTTGAACTCCTGAGGCGATGTACCCTCTTAAAGGAGGGGATTGAAATTCATATTTTAATTTTTTTCATTAACATGAGGAATGCTAGAGACACGAAACTTGTTATGAGCTTCCTACTAATAAAGAGACAACTTTTCAATGTTTGTTCGATCAATGGCGTATTTTATAAAGGAGTGAAACAGTCAACCCCATTGCAATATTTTATTAAAACAATTTTTATATGAAGGAAATTATTTATTTAAAAATATTTATTTCGAAGACTGATTTATTGCGCAACTTTTTTACCTCTAGTAATTTTTCGATAAAACCGATAGTTTTCTAGTAAAACATTAGATGCTTCATCGTTCACTAATGGGGTAATTGCAAAAATTTGTAAAAATAAAGTAGGCGGATGTCATAACAAATAAATTGTTATTTATCATATTAATAAATTGACACTTTCTGTCAATAAGCTGGTAATTTAGTAATAGCATTAAGAATAATTTGCTATTATTATTTCATGAAAAATGTTTGATAACTTATGACTATGGGACATGTATTAGGTAAAGTTATTTATCTGAAATAAAGTTTAATACAAACGAAAAACAAGAAATGCAAAATAAAATTTAAAGAATATTCTCGAAATAATTTCCATTTTGCTGCAAGCATAACCTAATACGTCTGTTGAAGTTATAACGCACTTGCACAAACAGTTCTTGGTTATTGCAAAGGTCATCTGCTGCCTGAAATATTCTTAAGCGTAGTTCTTCTAAGGAGGCAACAGGAGTGGCATAAACAATACTTTTTATGTGTCCCCACAAAAAGAAATCCATAGGCGTTAGGTCAGGTGAACGTGCAGACCAACAAACAGTGGCATCACGACCACGACCAATCCAGCGATTCGGGTAATTTAAGTTTAACTATTCTCTAACGGCAAGTGTACTATGTGCAAGCGCCCCATCGTGCATATACCACATCACCTGACGTGTAGCGAGGGGTACATCCTTAAGTAATGTTGGAAGATTTTCGTTAAAAAATCTAAGATACTCGACCGCTCCATGCCTGTGTGGAAGAATAAAACAATTCCCATCCAAACGTATAAACTGAAATTATGTTGACATCTTGAAACAAATATTTCATGAGTATTTTCTTCCGACCATGAATGAACATTATGAATGTTTACTGCACCTACTCTAGGAAAATTTGCTTCATCGGTGTAATGTACCATTGACAAAAATCCACGCGCTTAGGTAAATCTGGGCCATTCAATTCTTGCACGGGTTGATGGTGAAAAGGGTATAAAAGATTTTCATGAGATACACTCCACACAAAACTGTGAGAAACTTGCAGTTGCCTGGACACCTGTCTTGTGATTATACCACAGTCTTGTTCTAGATGTTCCAGTACAGCTTCCTCAGTTTCAACAGTTCGGATATTACGCCTTCTTCCGGCATCCTCACGATTGGGCTGAGTTTTACCAGTTTCGCGAAGCCTTCTTTGTGTAATCTTACTGCAGCGTTACTATTTTTTCTGGATTTGAAAAACACTTGGAGCATGTCAACATACTCGTCATTGGTAGAAATATTATTTGCCATAATTATTCTGATAATAAATTAATCAATTGGTACTAATTATTGGTTGACAGAAAGTGTCAATTTATTAATATGATGAATAACAATTTATTTGTTATGACATCCGCCTACTTTATTTTTATGAACGATGACGCATCTAATTTTTTTACTAGAAAACTATCGGTTTTATCGAAAAATTACGAGAGGTAAAAAAGTTGCGCAATAAATCAGTCTTCCCAACAAATATTTTTAAATAAATAATTTCCTTCATATAAAAAATTTCTAATAAAATATTGCAATGGGATTAACTGTTTCACTTCTTTATAATAAAATACGCCAATGATCGAACAAATATTGAAAAGTTGTCCCTTTATTAGTAGGATGCTCATACCAAGTTTCGTGTCTCTAGCATTCCTCATGTTAGAGAAAAAAAATTAAAATGTGAATTTCAATCCCCTCTTTTAAGAGGGTATATCGCCTCAGGGTTGCAACTTTCATATAAGGTATTTTTACTTCAATCCTCTTATTTTTGGCTCTACATTCACTGGTACCATTTTTGCTACTTCATTTAAAAACACCCTGTATTAATAGCAAATTGATACTGTGAATGGTATACAATTGTTACCTTTGGATTAATATTGATAATCCATTCATGCCTGTTGTATTGCAGTACCTAGTGACTATTTACCTTTTGTTTATTCCTGAACCAGTTACAAAGTTATAATCTAGCTATTCTGAGACAAACTTTCGTTAGTTCTTGTTAGGTGATAGCGTTAGACTCTAATTGTTGTTTTCTTAATAATAATAGACTTCCAAACATTGAATTCAACAACAACAATTCTTCATACACTTATATGGGAAATATCTTCAACAGTATTTTAATACCTCTTCTTCAACGTCAGCAGCCTTTACATACGATTAACAAGGGGCTCTCTAGTATTATAAAAAAGTCTGTTTTTCTCGCAATTATTAGAGTTTGTAAAGCCGTTAGTGTATTTAAGAAATTTTTACTTTAACACATTTTTCCTTCAATTATATCTCTCAAACTACCCATATCCACGCCACTGAAATTGTGAATAAAACAGTTTGCATGTTGTTATTGTTACTTTCGTTATTTATTATTAAGACTAAGTTGATATTTATTCTTGTATTAATTTTTATCTTTAGTTGATTTAAAGATAATTAGGAACCCTCTTCAAAAGAACAATTTTAACATCCTGTATCTCGAAAATACAACGTTAATGAGAAGAACATTATACCAACTACCACTACAAATGTTCACAAACGCGACACTCTGTATCTTTAAACAACGGCACAATTTTTCATTTCAACCTTTATTTACACTTAAGTCTCTGTAAATACTTAGGTATTAGTGAAGGAGAATTTACGAATTGGAAATTTGTTTTGCAAAGTGGGTATCCTAAATTGAATTACCTTAGTCGACTTTTATTGTGGAAGAAATTAATCAGATTATGTTTTAGACTTTGAACTCAAATTAAAAATTTAAATGAAAATTGTGTCTTCTTATTTTGTTGAAGACATACATTAAGGCATTATAAAATTGATCAAATTTCGTTGGACAACAGTGTACGTGCGATGCGGTTGACAAATTGTTGCACAGTGCTCGCTCCAGACACGATATTTCGCAGGAAATATGAATCAGTAGAGCACAAACAGCGTGGTTAGTATACATTGAAAACAGTTATCTGCTGGCATTTAATTCTGCTGTCATCGTCAGTACGAAACATATAATTATCACATGCGTTGTTATGAAAAATGTCTCGTGATTGGTTTGAAGACAAAATTACAAACTTGATCGATCTTAATAAACAATGAAACATTCTTTATTAATAAAAAGCATGCGAGAAGACCATCTTCTTCGTTGTTCGTTTCAACATAAACTGACGAACTAACGAACATTCAAGCAACAGGATACTGTATGTTTGCAGCTAACTTTTTGTTCATACTCGAGTGTTGCTCAATTATAGTCCATTACTGCCTTTAAGTATATTCTAATATTTTATAATCAGTTCTAGACCCTAAAAAATTTTGTGGCCCGTTCTAATATTTAAAGTACGATGGCTTGTTGGGTTATGTCATGGCCTGGTCGTGGTTAGTTACAGAAATACATTACTTCCTTAGTCCTAGCTAGGAATCTTTGACCTGCCCTTGTTGTTCCCGGGCTAGGGTCTGTGGGAGACGCACTAAAGTTCCTTTCGTTTCTTACTCGATGTAAGGTCGATATGAATGGAAGGAACCCTCCTCAGGTAATTGTGATCCTCTGAGACCTCGTCACCAGTCTTGTAGCGTAGGTATCGGCCTGCGCAATACAGTGATAGAGTGGGGCACTGGGGCAGGATGTGGGAGTTGAATGCCGCTACCATCACCGATGACGTCACTACCGCTGCGTGCGCCTCTGGGTCTGTCGAGTGGGGCAGAGAGTGTGGCTCCCATCACTATATTGCGCAAGCCTCAGTCGTGGCAGAGCATTTGCAGAATTACCACTGAAGATGCTGACAGTGAAGAGCGGCGACGCGATTAGAAGCATTGAATGTGACCAGTTGCAGAGGCCACTACGAAAAATCTCAGGCAATCATTTGAGGAGTTCCGTTCGTAGTGGACAATAAAAGCTGAAAAGAATATCAGGGCGGACTTAGGGATTCTAAAAGCGGGATCATCCCCACAGAGCCTGGTCCGAGAGCAACATGGTCAAAGATTAAAGTCTAAAGAACTATAGTAACTGGCAGCGTATACAGACCACGTCATAACAATTCGAAAAACCGTTGTACTTTAAAAAATTTTACTTCTTAAGATTTTTGTTCGGATTTTAAATGTTTGGTCCTTTAATAAATTGTATAACTTTCACAGTGCGTAAAAAGACAATGCATAAAGATAATATTGTCTGTCACCCGTTATAGTTCTTGTCAGTACCTTTCGTTATTAATAAAGTTCAAGTATACGATTTTGTTGATCACATTATTAGAAAGTAGAAAAGGGTTACTGAATGCGGGATGCTATATTTTTATTATGTTCATTCGGAATCATTTTTCTATTTTGTACGAAGAAGTTTGCTAATTCTAATATCGGAATTAGATGAAAAACTATATTAGAAAGACAATGACTAAAGCGCGGGGTGTATTTAAAATAATTGATTGCAGTATATTCCAGTATAGATGGAAAACATATTTTCATAAAAATTCACACAATTGTAGCACTAGGTCTAGCTGTAGGTTCTGTCAAACTTTGCGACAATATTATTTGAAAATAATATATTTTCAAATTTACCTCATTTGTTTCAAACATTTTTTTACTAATACCTTTCATAATATTATTTTTCAGTCCTTTGAATCTGTGACAGTGATGTTCTGCGAATTAGTTGGTTTTAATTCATCAACTGTAGAGGATGCGATGGAACTAGTCTCCACGATGAATGCCGTTTTTTCATGTTTCGATTCCCTGATGGATACGTTCAATGTTTACAAGGTACCTAATTAACAATAAAGATTTTATCTCTTCAAGCAACGCCAAATATTGATACACAGTGAACAGCAACATGCTTACGTTGTGCCTAGTTGGATATGAAGTTAACTAAATTTGGTCTCGATTTAAACAATTTTGCTAACGCAGCTAACGACAATAATGCATTTTACATGCCGAGGTTCAAAAATTCTGAAACAGAAAAGGCCAAACAATGAAATGTATGAGCTTGCCACAATTGTATCTGACACAGCGTTTCTGACATGTTATGTGTTTATCTTATTAAAATCTGAAACTGGTAATTGGTAAAAAAAATTTTCAAAACATATTATTTATGGATTAGCAAAGATACAAGCTATTATAGAAAATCAAATTCTCTTTTCACCGATATAGACAAGACGAAAACCTCGCATTCATGAGAGAAATTTTCCGACTCGATTTTTTTGCATATTAAGATTCGTGAGATGTTCCTTAACATAAATCAAGATGATGCCGGCCGGAAATCTGGTGCCCATTTGTTTAAACAAACTTTTCCTTTTAAGTTTAAGTTTAAACATAGGAATAAGTAGAAGTAGAATAGCAAATCCACGTATGAAAGAGGCGCGCGTGCGACTCATAGCGCTTTATTAACAATTAAAAAAACAAGGCTTTAGAATAATGCGAGTCCCAAAAACTCTTCAGCATCTTGTAAGGGAATGTTTAAAATTTAATTTATGCACCTGGCAACATCAAAAATAACAATTTTTAACCCGGAAATCCGCCGTTGAAAATCGTCATTTTCGCATTTTTAGCAACTTAAATTGTTTATAACTTTAAAACTATCAATTTTAGAGGCATAGTGCATAGGAACTTTTTTGCTTATAATGTGCCAAAAAACCTAAAAAATTTTCCGGAGTGAAAAAAACATTTTTTACAATTTGTTTAAAAAAAGTTTGTTTAAACAAATGTGCACCAGATTTCCGGCCGGCATCATCTTGATTCATGTTAAGGAACATCTCACGAATCTGAATATGCAAAAAAATCGAGTCGGAAAATTTCTCCTACGAATGAGAGGTTTTCGCCTTGTCTAATATAGGCATTGTAAAGGTTACAGTTTCAATTTTCTCAGATATTTGAGGTTTACTTACATACTTGATGAACATTGAATGACAGCAAAGTTTACAGAATATTTATTCTGTATACTTTGATGACAGTACCAATATTTGCCTTTCGAGGCATATTTGATGATATTTTTAACGGAATATTCTTGAGGTTGTAAATAAACCGCAAATATCTGAGAAAATTGAAACTGTAACCCCTACAATGCCTATGTCGGTGAAAAGAGAATTTGATTTTCTATAATATGATGCAAAGAAATAAAGGGTGTTCCATTTGAATTTAAAAAGTTTTATCGGTTTTAAGTTTTCATAATGTAACGTAAAAAATGGGACACTTAGTATAATTCAGGTAATTTTGATAATAGAAGGTAATGCATCTTATGTTCTTTGTGTATTCTGAAAAGCAAGTGAAAGCTTCCAGAACGAAGCAAGATATAAGGAATTTTCGAAACGCTTGCATCTGTTAAAATTTTTATAAAATGTCGATTATCTCAAAAAGGTACAGGGAAGCTTTATCATTTTTGACTTATTTTTAATTTATCTCGTCGAATAATATATAGGGTATTCCATTTAAAATAACGAAGTTGACAGCTACTTCCGATATAACCGAAAGTGCTACGTTGATGGCATTATTCTCACTGAAGAGAATCTGATAACCCCCGTAAAAAAATTTTTAGTCATATTGTCTTTGATTCCTCTGAAACGTTTAATAGGCCACTTACCGTCAAGAACCTTGTATATCTACTGGTATATGACCAAATTACCACATATGTTATACTTCTCAAATTCTAACTAAGATACTCTATTGCTTGAACTTAAATTTGGAATCAAAGTATATTTATTTTCATTTCACTCATTTCCACTTACTTTGGAAAGTTTGAAAGGATTGCAAACATATGTGTGCTATGTTATTCAAACTATTAGTGATTTGTAAACAAACGTAGCATGTTAGAAGTTTACCGGAGCATGCATTAATAATTAGCATGTACCTAGTTTTATATACTTTAAGGTTGGTTAGTGGTTTCGCCTCCAGATTTATGTATCCTCATTAACGACATGGATTTAATCTCAAAAGCTTTTACGTCTGGAATTTCAAGCGAATTTAAATTCAATACGAGTGGGAGTGGTTTCACTAAAGACTAATGAGGATTTACTCGCAATATCTCCGTATGCGTAATCGAACTCTCCATTAAAATTACTGTTCATGCAAAACACCGATATTTATCAAAATATCTGTGTTTAGGAAAAAGTAACTTCATATATAAATTAATTTTGCAATTCTAATTAATTAATGAAAAACAAATATTTATCAGTTTTAACTAAAAAAGGGAGTTACTCTTAAAGGAGCGGTAAAATTGTTAATATTCTAATTATGTCTCTAAAATGTAGTGTTAGAGGAACAAATAAATATGCAACTGACGTCAACAGAGGGCAAGTCTGAAAATTTGCGAACTCAACATATTTTAGCCATGGAAAAACGTTTCTTTGGTTTCACTAAAGAGGTATGCAAACGTCCGTACCAACTTGTGTTGAGAAATAACCTTAATCATCAATTTAATAAAGAAGGAAAGAAAGAAGAATATACTTGGTTTATGTTCTTTTTGGTTGAAATCCAATGGTTTTATTACCAGTTGCTACTTCTGCCTCAAGGCTTTTAATAAAATTAATGTAAAAAGTTTTTTTCCTACAAACCTGTTATAAGCCTCCCAAAGTCATAAACGAAAAATGTAAAAATTAAGTGGGTTCTGTCACTGGTGGAGGAAGTGTTGAAAATACAGCTGCCATTGTTTATTGCAATGTAGATGGAAATTTTATGCCGCCTTTCGTAGGAAAAGGATGAAACCACAGTTTCAAGACAGAGCTGCTACTAATTCACTTATTGTGATGCAGAGAAAAGGATGGATGAAATTGGTTCTGTTTCTCAAATTTCTACAGTGATTTTAGTTTTACATACAGAGTTCAGAAACCAACATAGTATTCTAGATGGTCATAGGTGTCATAAAATAGTTGCAGCGGTAGAGTTATTATGATATTATGTTATGTTTACCACCACACTGAACGCACGGAACGCAATCTTTACATGTAGCTGTTTTTGCAGATAATGGCTTATTTCACTTCCAGTTAAGGTAATTAGACTCGAAAAAATTTCACGGCTCTTCTGCTCTGTGTACAAAAAAGTCGCAACCCAAGAAAATGCGTTAAGGTCCTTGAAAATACTGGAACATATACTTTTAATGATGTTATATTTCTTGATTGAATGTTTCTTACAACATCTGTTTCAGACCGACCTCTTCCTCTAATTCTATAATCCCCAAAAAATGAAAATTAATCAAATGAACTAATTAAAGACATTACCGAACAAAAGTAGGTACCAAGCAGATGAAAAAATTCTACTCAACTTTGTACTGAACCAACTGCTGTCCAAGCAAGGGAAACATCCCTCCTTATCCTTGGAAGAGATAAAGACACAGGTTTGAAGGATCAAACAGTAAATCTTCGCAATCATGGCACGTTAGCGAAAAAAGTACTGATGAAGTATCCAGAGTTAATATATGAGATTCAGACATAGATATATGATGTCAAATGTATACTAAATACGATAGAGTAAAACAATTGTTAGTTTTGGAGATATACTTCCCCTTGCAAAAATTTATAAAGTCAGTGTTAAAAAACAAACAGATATAATCTTGGTTTTAATTTAGTTACCATTTTTGGAAGAACTTAAAAATAAAGAAAACATGAATTGAAATTCAAAGAGGTAATTCAAGAAAAATTTGCGTGATGAAGATATTGGAAAAGAAAACAATGAATGCAGGAGATTCTGCGAGTAGAAGAATTGCTCTCCAAATTCAACTGGAAGAAATATTATGTTTTATGCAATAATTGGACCGATGTTTGTACAAAGGCATAAATAAAATGTGTGAAGTCTATATTTGTGATAATTGCATTCAAACTCTGTTATTTACCTAGATCATGTAAAACTTGTTCCATTTGTCGTTTATTTTATATTTTACGTTTATGAATTTTGATATGTTCTGAAAATATAGTATTATTCAAACTCGTTTTGTTTTGGAAATATCTTAATCATACATCAATCTATAAAATATATTGTGAGTAATCATTTTGTCCCCGACGACGACGTAAGGATCATTATTTTTAAAAATTTTTAAATTTTTCGTGGCTTTATTGTATATATTGTACACAGAGTGTTCCACCTAAGAGGGATTCTTCTGTAACTCTGCAACTGTAAACTTTATAAAAAAAAATGGTTTTAATATAAGTTGCCTGGGATCATGTGAGCCATGTATAGAAAATATTTTATGCTTTACAGGGCTTTTTTCGCGTAGGCGCTACATAACTTTGTTATTTTAAATGAGATACCCTGTGTATTATTGCGTTTTTGAATTCCTTGGTTAATATTAGGTAGAGTTTATTAAATGTACATGGTGTTTAAAACTTACCGTTTTTGAGATAATCAGTTGTTTTTGACAAAAATCACGATTTCAACTCTCTAAATGAGGCTAGATAGCGTCCAAACTCAGAGTTAGAAACCCGCAGTTTTCACAGTTCGTTTCGGCATAAATTACTCTATCTTGTGTGCAAAACATGTACGTTATTCAGACTCGGAAATACTGAGACCTATACATTTAATAACCTTACGAGTTGAAAACCATTTTTTCCAAATGGAATGACCCATATTAATTGTCATGGGTGAATGCAAAATTGAATGCCCTTTCGACTGATATAGGGTTGTCCATACTTATCTCTAACAGTTTTCCAAAAAAATCAGGTTCTTTTCTAAAGTCCGAAAAGGTATCTATGTAACAGTGACAAGGAAGCACTTTTCTCTCACATTTTATCAGGCCTGGGACTGACATTGTCAATATTTACTGGCATGTTTAAAAAGTGGGTTGGCAAACAAAAGTAAACCACTGTTTGCTCACAGTTGACAAGATAGAGTAATTTATGCCGAAACAAACTGCGAAAACTGCAGGAATCTAACTTTTACAGTTTAGACGCTGTCTAGCCTAATTTAGAGAGCTGAAATTGTGATTTTTTTTAAAACCTGCTGATTATCTCGAAAATGGTAAGTTTTAAACACCATATACATTTAATAAACTCTACCTAATATTAACCAAAATATTCAAAAATGTAATAATATATAGGACGTTCCATTTAAAATCGCAAAGTTATGTAGCGCCCACGCGAAATGGAACACCCTGTAAAGCTAAAAATATTTTATTTACATGGCTCACATGATTCCTGTATACATATTACTTAACAAGCAAAAAACTGTGATATTATTTTGTATTTCATCAAGTACAAAAATGATGACAAATTTTTAGATCATTTTGCCCTTATATTACTATACTAATGAAATAGTTCAAGGCGAAAAATTGCAATGAACAAAATACTTCGTTATAGAGAAAACCTATCCAATATTTTTTCATTCACTGTAAAGTTTCGATTTTTTAAACAGCTTCTGTTATAAATCTTACAAAACTGAAGGGAAGGTGAAAATAAGAGTCCATAATTCCATGTACTTAATTTTAAGTGACCTAAAAATCAAGGGAAGCAAAGCGCACAATTGGTCCTGTAAAGAAATCTGCGCTGAAAAAAGGGTACTTGATGACGTTAATATTTCTGGTCACGTCGTTCATAGCGAGTTTATATTCCACTTATTTCTTTTATAAAAAAAGGTATTTCACTGCACTTCCTGTGAGTAATACTTCAGACAAATTTACGGTTGACTAAGAATATATGGGGGAGACTGGGAAGAATCAGTACAATTTTATAACGAAAAATTCACATTTAATAGATTTTGATTGCGTATATGGCACAATTTAAAATGTTATTATCTAGAGTGTTACAAAAGTGAAAACGACTTTGAAAGTAAAAAAAGTAAGAAAACAAGTTTATTTGAATTAATATCCGGAAATATCTTTTAAACGTTTAAACAAATCGATTCAAAGTTGCTCAATATATTGCTCAGTAAGTCTGCATGATGCTAATGATAAATAAGTTAGCAACTTTTCGAAGCCATCCGATTAATTTTTTCTATACCTAAATGTTTCACAAAAATTACTGTTTTTATTGCAATATTCTACTTATAGCACTTTGCAGCCATCATCAGCAGAACTGGCTCAGACCGCTGTAAGTAGGAAAAAAATTATTTTCGGACGAAGTACTGTGGAGACTTTTAGTCAGTAACACAAAACCAACAACTTACCACAATTTCAATTTGATCGAGCCCACATTTTCATAAAGACAGTTCGTGGTCCTTTGAACTGATTTTGTCAAGTCGATTGGAAGATATAAGTAGATAGAAACGGATATTTTCACGAAAATTTTAACACTTTGTATGTTAAAAACGAAGTGTCAGGACATATATCGCATTATTTCCATTTTATTATTATTTTATGGAGTACTTACTCTTTGTTGTTTCAAATTTTACACAAAAACTCAAATCTGTTATAATCTTTTTTGAAAAATTGTGATAACACAAAATAAAGAACCATAATTAATTTTTTTTCTCCATATACCTACCAGAACATAGATATATTGAAACATATTTCTGACGTAAATGTTGTAGTAGGTATTGAATCGTGTTCTAAAATCACCCAAATCGCTGAACCAGAAATTCCTTAACACCTACACCCCAGTATTTAGCATGTTAGGAATCAAATTCGGAAAACGAATTATTACAGTGAATCAGTTATCTTTATTAAAATCATTATTTTATGATAATTGCAATAAGGAACTGGTTCATTATAATAATTCATTTTCCCAATATGAATCCAATTCTTTCCTCAACCACAAAGTTAATGGATCTGTACTTAGAACCCTATGCATGTCTTGTTTGGATATAACTTGTGGTAACTTTTATTAAAATACCAATTATCCCTGTTTTTTTTTTCTTAGGTTGAAACAGTCGGCCAAATTTATATGGCTGTATGTGGGGCACCTGATAGAAATGATAGTCACGCTCGGAACATCACAGACGTGTCGCTTTGTATGGTGAAACACGTGAAGCAGTTACAAATTCCGTCGGGTACGAAAGTGGAAGTGAGAATAGGTAAGTAATTACACAGATTTTTCAGAATTACTTTCGCAAAGTGGAATTTCATTGACGTTGGTTGAAAGAAAGTCAATAAAAATGCTTAACTCGGTTAGTTTCATTTTGCTGGTCCCATTTTAAACAGTTACAGTTTTTAAAATAATAAACAAGGAAGAATTTTTCACAGAATCTAAAGATTTAAGTAACTACTGAAATAATAGCAACTTTGTTTTGCGAGTGTTATTGTGTATGTCATGAAAAATAAAAGTGAATAATTTTTTCTTCAGTTTATACAGGGTGTCTGCCATATAAGGGCCGTATGTCTAATACGTAATATGCAGATCAAAATAAATAAAGATTAAATGCAACTGGTGATATAATCCTTTTAAAATAGTTTATGTAGAGCTGTGCAAAGTTCAGAACCAGAACTAATTAGCTATAAGGCCAACGTAGCCCCATATGTCGTTATCAGGATCAACAATTCAACTGTAATGCAGTTTTTGTTGTTTTTATTGTTTTTTAAATTGCGCTCTCTCCGCAAATTGTCAAGCAGCAATTACTGAATTGTGCGATTGTTAGTTGTCTTGTCTTTTTTAAAATTATGTTTACCATACGCGAATATAAGACATATTAATTTATTAGGAAGCAAAATGCAACTCTTATGAAAAACGACATATTTTTGACAACTTTGCACATCCATCATGTCGTACGATTACAGATTTTCCTCAAATACAATATCTGATTTTCCTCAGAGATCTTTAATTTTGAGCACTAATCACTTGGCTGACGATAATCCGCATGTTGCGCATACTTTCAATTTTTGCTGGCTTAGGCAAATACCTTTAAATAATGCATCGTTGATGTGTCCAATCAGCGGATATTAATCCTTTACGCCTTTAATCGTGGTATCATATGAAATGGTTATTGAAACATAGTGTGATTGAAAAATTAAGAGCAACTTCGTGATTTTTGGGGGTGCTCAGGAAATAACAACGTTACCTACCTGGAATTTCCCAGCATGTACAAAGTAGTTGGATCATGCAGTATGCGCTTGTTCAAAATTCGGTGTCCCGAAATTAATGCAACAAAATTTGGTCACAGATTCTTAAGAGGAGAAGAAATTTAGAGGACCCGTATTTTTTATTAAGCAAAAATAAAAAAAATACGGATCCCCTAAATTTGTCTTAAGAATCTGTGACCAAATTTTGTTGCATTAATTTCGGGACACCCGATATTATCGTAGCTGTAAAATGAGTTTTATTTAATGAAATCTGTTTACGTTTCAGCGAAGACGCTATACTATTTTTCAATATTTATAACCTTACGCTTAAACAAAACTGAACAAATTTCACTTGGAAAATCGTCTTCTGGAAAATAGCATTACTGCACTACTTTGCCACTGCGCATCTTATCTTTAGGGTTCAATGAACTGGGTTTATCTATAGTAATAATTAATATACTTAAGACCTATGCGTGCAAAATTTTTGTGTTTATTTTGCTGTATTCTGTTACTTATACCGCAAACACTCATTAAACATATATTAAGGAAAATAAATCAGACCGCACGGACATTGATACATCGGAATTTATAATAAGACAATAATATTTTTCCGTTTATCCTTTAGGAGTTCATTCCGGGCCAGTGGTAGCAGGAGTAGTGGGAATAAAAGTCCCAAGATATTGCTTCTTTGGCGATACTGTCAACACTGCCTCAAGGATGCAATCCACGAGCGAAGTAAATATCGATTTCAATTTTTCTTTTCAACGAATTCCTGATTGAAATCTAATTCCGTTTGTTTTTAGCCTGGAATGGTACACATATCAGAGTCAACTAAAATGCTGTTAGACGAGGAGAAATACATTATAAAGAATCGTGGAATAGTTCAACTAAAAGTAAGTGTAACATTTTAAGTTTAACATTTTTTATTTTGTGGTCTTTTAACACTAGATAATTTTTACTTTAAACGAAACTCCTGTCGTACAAGGCACTCTTTTTTTACTTCCTAAATTATGATAGTATTTTAGCCAAATATCTGGGTTCATTGAAAGATGATATTTTATTACTAATTTTTTTTTACGAATTAAGCTGTACTTTTTTTTTTGGACTACCAATTTATCTCTTAATTAGTATACCAATATTATGTGTGCATATGTTATGATGAATTAACCGAATATATCTCAGAAAAACAGTGTTAATGTTTCTTATGTGTTTTTAATATTGTTTATTTATTTTTTAAATTCAGTTCTTATCTTCAAATTAATCAAATAAATTACATAAAACATGTTTAAAACCTTGTGTCTATATAAGTAAGCCATTTGTTGTAGATATGTATGCAATTAGTTGTTCTGTTTTGACCACAAAATGTGTATCGGCGAACTAATACAAAAGTATAAGGTTAATAACTGGCACTTTACAATCACAAATAAGAAAAAAATGTATCTAATTAGTCAATTGCAACGGTATTTTGAAACAGTTTTTTGTTTAATGCAACTACAGGATAAATTGCACGAGCAGTTATTTATGACGTAGTTACCATAGAAACTCAGTGGAAATATGAGCCCATATTCACTGCTGTGTGAAGATGTAACAAGTAAAATCACAATAAGAAAGAAATATTAGAAAGTGTTGGAGATAATATATTGAAATATTTCTATATTTCTCATATTTAGGAAATAGTAGGAGCAATCACTTCACTTGATTTATAGCTATAGAGAAATATGGGAAAAGATATTTCTTATCCTCAATTTAGTTGCATTAATTTTGTTATTTATTATAAGTCGAAGCTTTTTTCTTTTAAATTTATTTTTCAACATACCTTTTTGATCTAGATTATGTGGGGTATGTTTAGATAAGATTACAACATTTAGGGAATGTCCCGATGAGGTACTGTTTTTTTTTTTAAGAAATTAGCAACAGTATACAAGTGTTGGTTACACTAAAAAATTTCTCTAACAGCTTGATTATTGTCATTTTGTCCTTGGACTTGACGTTGAACGCAACCTGACTCTTCCAAAATTTGTATGTCATTGCATAGCCCCGGATTTTAGAGAAGAGGGTTTCTCCAAATTGAACTTAAAGTTTTCTCAAAGTATTACCCTTCTTTAAAAAGAGATTTTGCGACGGTGAGTTAACAAACAAATCGACCTCTTACTCATTAATTGTTCTTACTGATAAAAACTTTCTATGTGATATTACGGAGCAGATTGAGTTTACATATAACACAATCACTTTTATCCTCTTAAACTCATAGAGGTGTACTGCAATTTCTCATTATCGTAAAGGTATAGTTTCAAAAAATAGAGGAATGAAAAAATTATAGACAATAATACAAAACTACTATGCGAAAACAATTTATTATATTTGATCTGCAAGAAAGTTACTCTAAGTAATAAATAAAAATTATTGGTAAACATGTTTTCATAAAATTCTGGTTGCCTGAATATGTGGATCAGTATAGTTCACGAAAGTTGTAGGGGATAAATACATACAAAATTTTGTGAGATGGGTTTTTACTCTTCTTTTTTTTATTATACATATATACCTCTCACATTAGATTGACCTTCCTATTCAACTGATTTTTATAACTTACAAAATAATGTACCGTTTTACACATCTAGATATTTAAAGGAATTAAAACATAGAAAAGTCAGATTTTGTATATGTAAGTAAAAAATACAGGAAAGATTTTGATTTGTATCTACATAATTTCATCAGCTACTATGTTGAAAGCAAAAGACAAAGTTCTATGTAGTGAAATTCTGTTAAAATGTTAAAATATGAGGGTGCTGCCCTGACATTTATGATTTACTTCAAGGAAATTTACTCAATATCTTTCACAGTGTAGAAGGTGAATACTACTGTACTAAACAAACTTTTAGGTACTAATTAGTTTAGTCACTTTCCTTCAATTAGTCGTAAATGGAAATTGGTCTGTTAAAGTTAATAACGAGATATTTATAAACCTATATAAGAAAATCTAAGTAAGTTAGGAACACTGTCTCTTTACAGTACCAGTTATATAAGCTTTCTTTAAGATATAAGATAACTGACAATACATTCAAAATAAGAGAAAAAATCATAATTTTGCCTCGTATGTCTATCTTACGTTTCCCGAATTTTGCACGTATGTTGTAGAAAATCGCATACGGTACTATAAAAATAATCACACCTTGCTAAATGCTTTTATGGAACTATTAACAGACATCCATTAATTACAATTATTGTGTAAAGGTACATTTTCTTACGTTTACATGTTCTCTGTCATCTTTCAATGCGAAAAATTAAAGGAAATTTTTCTAGTTTATCGTTACATCCTGGATGGATCTACTTGTTCTATCATTGTCTTACTAATAATTCGATTTCTTGTTTGTAAAACTTCAGCTTTAAACAGTTATCTTGAAAAATTAAAACATAAAACATTATTTGAATACCTGTAATCTTTCAACGAAGCATTCTGGTACTGAGCTATATTTGGTTAATTGCTTTGTTTTGTCTTAGACAGCTTCAGTTTTTATGACTCGCTTTGTTTATTATGCTATCTTAGAATTTAAAATAAACAATTTTATCTTAAATTAAATTATCTTTGAAAATGATTTCTCTGACTTTCTAAGGAAAAATTCATTTATTGTAGTTCTTAACTTTCAAAACAAAGATCAGAGTCTTAATCTTGTAATTTTGCTGAAGATAGCTAGTGGGAAGGAAAATTCTGAATTATGTTGCTGTTATGTTAAAATAATTTTTAATGTGTGGCAAGAAGTACTTATTTATCAATATTATCAACTCAAATTTTCATTCATACAGTGTTTGTTGATGTAAGGATAATTATTATAATTTGTATTGTATTTTTTCGTAATAAATTGTTAACAAAATTCAATTTCTTGCTGTTTATTTTAGTACTTTTCTTTGGAATATTGTGACAATAAAGTTTAACTTGATCCCTGTAATTTAAAGAATTTCTTGGGTAACTTTATTAGGTATATTGTAACATGGACAGCACTTATTCTTATTGAAAATCAGCCTTCATAAGAAATAACACAGATTTTATTATAACTTACTACACCTCAACTTTCAAATTTCTCGACTTTCGAAATGCACCTCGAACCAAATTGAATGTAATTGTTTTGGAAAAAGTCAAAACAAAGATATAACACAAATATGCATATTACTATTAACAAAATAATAATAAAGAATTTAACTAATAAATTAACAAGGAAGATGAGCTTCTGTAACAATATGTTTAGAATTACATACTCGTATATGCAAATCCAGTTTATTCTCTAGTACTGATTTATTATTTAATCTTTCCAGAATCCAGTGTATAAAGGTTTGGAGAGTGAAATATTAGCTACATGAATCTCTAGTCAAAACAATTGTTTCATTCGAATAATTGAATTTAGTTAGATATATTGTTCAACATGGAAAGTCCCTTGTATCGCCAATCTTTTGTTCCGCTATTGTTTCAAAAATATCTCCCAGACCTTTAAATATGCCATTGTTACAATATTTTGAACCAGTTAACTTTTAATTCTTTTTTTTTTAACATGAAATACAGTTTTCTCTATATACTAAATCAAATACTTCTTACAAATAGGATCATAAAAATTTTCTTTAGTCGATTTGCGACAAATACTGGAGAAATTTTAAGAATAACATTTATTATCAATTATAATCGTTTTCGTTACTTCAGTTATAGATAGCAGATAATTTAGATAGATAGATAGCAGAAGAATATATTGTCTGAAGTTATTTATTTGTTGTACAGATTTAGTTTTTTTTTATTTAATGAATTTCAAAAAAAATCAAATGCCTTCTCGGCAAAAGAGTGAGATTAGATAAAAACTATTTTCATAAAAATAATCTTCCAAACAAAGATGTATTGCATTAATAAAAAAATAAATAATGTATTTGCATTTTTTTCAGTTACTGCGCTTTTCCATAAATTAAAAATTTTAATTTTTGATTTTCTTTTTTTTTTTTCAGGGAAAGGGAGCAGTTGAAACATATTGGGTGTTTGAAAATACTCATTTCAACGATGCAGTGATATAGATACAAAGTGATATGAAATTAAAAATAATTTGTATGTATTTTAAATACTTAATAATATTTTACTTTCGAGCTATAAAATATAGCAATGAAGTTGTTTTCATTGTATTGACTAGTTGTATATACTTTTAGCTAAATAAGGTATTAATAAAACAACCCTACTAAATACATATTTTTAATTTGTATGTTCTGTTCACATCTTGCATTCCTTTTTTTTTGAAATCATAGAAAATTCAAATGGAGAGAGATTGTTGACATAATTTTCAAAAATATGGAACGAATTAAAACTGGGAATTTTACGGATTTACTTTTTTCTTTTCTTGTCTGTTTAAATAACTTTTTAAATAATTTATTACTCTCTTTTAAGAATCCTCTTTGAATCCTTAACGACATAATTTTAAATATGTGTCAAGATAAACCTGCATGTCTTTCCCTAAGTAACGGATGAAGTTGAAAATAAATAATACTATGGTAATATAAATGGGAAAAGTTTTACGGTTCTACACCAAACTGACAAATGGATATAATTTGTAAGTGACTGCAGAGTTTTTTAAAATTAAAAGTAATATTTACATTTGAAACTCTGTTATGGTGAATTCTTTACACGGCCTTGTTAATGCAACCCTTTAGAAAAATATTTGTTTTTTTCCACTTCTATGAAAGTGCGTTTATTTTAATTTAAAATTTACAGTCTGCGGAAAAAGTTCCATTAATTTAGTAAGTAAAGGGTGTCCCAAAACTAACGCAGAATTTGAATTGTGCGCCACGTTCATTCCGAAGAGTTGGTAGCACTGTGCAGGATCACATGTTGTAGTAAACTCGTGGTTAAACAAAATGAACGAGTGAAGATTGTGAAAATTCATTACGAAAAAGAACGGACCAATCACACCGTCATGCGTCAGCCTAAAATCCACACCACACTGTAGTCGTTCTTGAATAACACGGGGATTGTCTCTGTCCTAAATTCGACAGTTCGACAGCTTGTTCACATACCCACTAAGATGGACATGCGGTTCGTCGCTAAAGGTGATTTTCTTAGTAAAATCATCGTCCACTTCTTGATTGCAACCAATCTTGTCACAGTTGTTTCATTCGGAGCGTTCCCTCTACCGGAAACGTATTTTGCGCACAGTCTCAGCTACAGACTCTCCAATGATTTTTTACAATCTTCACTCGTTCATCCATGGTAGAGCGTTCCGTTTTGTATCTCTGCAACGTGTTTACTACAAGTGACACTGCACAGTGCTGCCAATTCCTCGGAATGGAAATATCATCCATCGTAGAGCGTTCCGTTTTGTCTCTCTGCAACGTGTTTACTACAAGTGACACTGCACAGTGTTGCCAATTCCTCGGAATGGAAATAGCGCACAAGTCAAATCCTGCGTTACTTTTGGGACATCCTTTACATTACTTCGAGCATTTGTTTGTTTCTCAGAGTAGTGTTACTGAAACATAAAGTTGGGAGAAGTAAAGTGGTTTCGTGTTCTGTGGAAACTCGTTTATTTTTTATTTCCAGATGGATGTTTAGTTACTTAAGGTCACGAACTCTAATGATACAGAATTGTATTTACGTAATTATGAACATTGTCAGATACAATTAAAATGTCATATAACAATTTTGATTAATGGAAATATACTGTACATAAACTTTTTATATATGAATATCTCTTTAATGGAGTAGTCAGAAAGATATTAATGAAAGCTCACAAGTATAGATCTAATGATTTCCTGCAATAAAAACCAGAATATAATCATAATTTGGCGAATATTAGTCTCTACAGCTGTTCTTCTCGTTATATTGATAATTACAAAATTCTGCTAGCTAGAAAAATATTGAACTTCCAACCAGACGTTTGGTTTTATTAAAACTAACAATTAACTTTCGTTAAAATAGTAATTTTTCAACTCCCTCCACTTTACAAATTTAAAAAATATATTATATTCGTTAATTTATTGATTGCAAATTAAACTGAGAATAAAAAAAATCAAACTTTTTCGAATAGATTGATTTTGTGGTAGTTCTGGTTAAAATAGAATGCATTTTTAATATACAGAGTGTGGCGTGTATAATCTATAAAAATTAAACAGCTTCCTAACGATATTTGTAATAGAAAAGTCTTATACGAAAAAGTTCTATTTTTGTGTTTTCTTTTTCGTAAATTAAAGTTCAATTATGGCTCAAAATATTTTCTCTGGAACGGTCCTGTCCGTGTGCTGTACGATCAGTTACGTGCTGTAGACCAGCCGCGTAAACAAATCGTCGTTGAAAGATAGAAAGATACTTTTGGGGAATTTTTCAACGCAAAAGTACAAACTAAGAAAAATAGATATATTAAAAAACTGATATTTTCTTATTATAATAATTAATAGTAATTACTATCTTAAATGCATTGTTGTTACTGCAAACAAAAGCACATCCGTAAGCATGTAGTGGCCAATTGCGTGTACTAAACAAACTCCATTAAAATATGGAACAAAATGAAATAAAACTTACCATTTCTAAAGAAAATGTTGAAATTGATTCCCAAGTATTCCCCTAATTGTTTCGCAATTCTTCCACCGTAACAATTGGAGTATTATAAACTAATGACTTCAAGTAACTCTAAAGATAAATTTCCATTGGAGTTAGATCGGGTGACCGAGGTGGCCACGGCACAGAACCAAAGCGTCCAATCCATCGCTGAGGAAACATTTCATTCAAAAGTGTCGTTATTTTTCGAGTACTGCGTGGAGGAGCTCCATATTGAAGATAAAACATGCGTGCCCGAACTTGCAATGCCACATCGTCCAATAATTCAGGCAACCGGTTCTCCAAAAAGTCAGCATATGTTGGTCCATTTAGTCGTCCTTCAAAGAAATAGGGACCCACAAGTACATCGCCTATTATGCCAGCCCAAACATTTACCGAGAACCGATGTTGAAAATGAGTTTCCTAATCGCGTAGGGATTTTCATCGACCCATATGTGCATATTATGGAAATTCACTTCATCACGGGTAAATGTCCCTCATTTGTTACACAAACATAAGCAGGAAAGTCTTCTTGATTGGCACATTGCCGTAAAAACCATCTGCAAAAACGCATTCGTTGATCACAATCCGGGGGAAAATCTGTTGAACTAGTTGCAGATGGTAGGGGTGCAATAGGTGGTGCCTTAAGATGCGATGTACGGTACGAGATGAGGTTCCTGCTTGCTGTTCGAGTCGTCGAGTACCTACTAATTGTGGGGTCTTCGTCAATATTTTCCAACAGTGCATCTTCAACATTAAGCTTCACTTGCTGACCATGTCTTTCTCCTCGAGGAATAACACTTCCCGTACCTCGCAGCCGCTGAAGGCACTGTATTGTATTTACACATGGGGGGTAACGTTGTGGCAATCGTTCCCGGTACAACCTAGTCGCCGCGAGCGCATTTTCTCCGGCTGCACCATACACTAACACCATATCGACACGCTCGGAAATAGTAAATGCATTGTTTTCTCGGTTCATTGTAAAACTAGTTTGTGCAAACTAAAAAATTAAGCAAAGTAAGAAATAAGAATCTCGTTTTAGATGTAATCGGCACAGTATTTTTATGTTTTACTTCTTTATGAAAATTACACTGTCACTATCCTGGAATTATAAAATAAAAACTTTTGTCTGGAATCTTACTTTTCAACACTGATGGGTCGATGGACGATGCTTAATATTTAATAATTAAGTGAATAATGATTTCAATACAAATACAAAATCAGTTGACTGCATAAATTTTTAGACAATGTAACCTAACCTTCTTTTAGTATTACTAGTATTAGATTATACCGACTTAAATTATAAGGTTGCACCTCGGGTCGCATAAAAACATTTACAAAGTTTTTCAAATAATACAGGTTCGGCCTTCATTTTCGTTGAATAAATGAACTTTAATTTACAAAAAAAAACACGAAGATAGAACTTTTTCGAATAGGACTTTTCTATTACAAATATCATCAGGAAGCTGTAGTTTAATTTTTATAGATTATACGCGCCACACACTGTATGTATCTGTGTAACAAATATTTTCAAATGAAAATGTAATAAATTTTACTATAATTTGTTAAACTCTGGAAATATGGAAATATTATTAATATATAAATTATGTTATGAAATAATTTCCGTTATCTAAAACGTGAATCATTGAATATCAGTCACTAACTTTACTTACATACAATTCTTTGAATGATAAAGATTAATATTAAAAAACTTTTTCAGTGAATATCTTATTGGGCTCTTAAGGACTCAGAAATCCCAATATTGAATTTAATATGTACTATATTTCGGACTTCCTTATTACAAGTCATGCGAAAACAAAGTATTAGAATTCAGTGCCTTGAAATTTTTCAAAGGTAATTTATTTTTTTTAACGTAACTCCTTTTCTGATTACAGGGTATCTTTACGACCATTTGATTATTTTAATAGTAAATATAAATTTCAATTAAAAAAATGTGAATTAATTTATATTTTTCTTGTTTTTTTTTCATCATATAATGGTCAGTTCATTTTCTAATTGGGTAACTACTACGTGGCTAGTGTGGCTACTCTGTGTAATATAAGTAAATTAAAAGTTCGTGTTCTTGCAGTTTCTTGTTGGCATAATTTTTGGTAAACTAAGGTATTAATTAATCTAGTTCATGAGAACGTTAACGAACCCTTTTAATACAAACCAAGCTGCGTTATCGGAATCAGAGCAAATATTTGTGCGTTTCTATTACAAATATAAGTAAATTAGGCATTATTAGCAATCAATACAAGCATGCCGCTTTAATTGAGAGCATAAAGTGTTTATTATCTCAAATTATTTATTTATGGCATATTTTCATTGTTAAACTGGATNACGTGCTGTAGACCAGCCACGTAAACAAATCGTCGTTGAAAGATAGAAAGATACTTCTCAATTTTTTGGGGAATTTTTCAACGCAAAAGTACAAACTAAGAAAAATAGATATTTTAAAAAACTGATATTTTCTTATTATAATAATTAAGAGTAATTACTATCTTAAATGCATTGTTGTTACTGCAAGAGTTCACAAACAAAACCACATCCGTAAGCATGTAGTTGCCAATTGCGTGCACTAAATAAACTCCATTAAAATATGGAACAAAATGAAATAAAACTTACCATTTCTAAAGAAAATGTTGAAATTGATTCCCA